TTTTTGCTCAGCGAATGAAATAAATCCAATTAAATAAAATAAAAACGACAAYAATACATTAGCATATCTCTAGACATCTTTATATCTCTATCAAATKGAATAGCTACGCTGCAACGAATACATTCTCCGCACTCGTCTTATGGCAGCCGATTAGTCATCGCCAAGCGACTAAAAGCAACGTATAAATCAACAGCGAATGATTAAAAATAAAATTTGTGAATATATGCACCGAAAAAAGAMATACTAAAAAAGAAGGCAAGTTGCATCAGCGTTCGGGCAAACAACTGGTTCGGCGACAACTTGTGCAACAACTTGTRCGATTGCGGTTACAAATGCGGAAAATTGTTTATTCATGCCACACGACCAAGATGACGGCGATGCGACGCGGCAGCCAAAGTCCGAAATGACTCGATTACCACATTTTGTGACGACGGACGGACATATGGATAAATGAATGGATCGCCGCACAGGCGGACGAGTGTACGGACGAAAAAGAGGCGGCTAAGTTTGGCACTTTGGCGCTTGCTGGCAGCTTAACTGGTTGGCTTTTTGGCTTGCCGGTTGACTAGTTGGCTTTGTGCGGCTGACACATTGTCCGCGATATGCGCGAAACACAAAAACACCAATAAATAAATAAAAATACAATCGAATTAAAAAAAAAAAAACAGAAACAAAAAAGATGAATTTTCGAGACGGATGCACGTAGATAAATAAATGTGAAAGAGTAGCTACAACAATTCTGCCAATTTATGGCAAATGACACTTTAAAAAGCATTTCAATTTTATTWCACCAACCAAATAAAAGACCGGTAAACAGCAGCGGAAACGCTTAAAAATTTATGAATAAAAATGAGCAAATAAATAAATTGTAAAAAATAATTAAAATAGGCTAAAAAAGAAATCTATATGACACGAACGATGCAGTCAAAATGACATATCACAAACGCACAACCAAGTAAAAAAGTAAGATTCATTGATCGTTTGGTCGAACCTTGGTAGAAACGAACTGCAAACTATACATATTCTCAAAACTTAAAGGAATCAGGCATAGATCCCTCATTACCAGCTTGAATTTAGTGAGCGATTTAGAAAGCGAGTGTTTTCAACCACTGATTTCAGCCGACGACTTTTACAGCGCCTATACACAAGTAGCCACTCAAGAGAAAAGTTATAGATCACTTGTTCCTTTGCAACAATACTACAAGAGTGTTAGAAATTAGTGATTTTACGGTAGCAAAGATCAAGATATGCGAAAGTTGTCAACATATTGCACCGCTCAGACGTAGAACTTTCAGAAAGCGATGTCTTCAATCAGGGAACAGCTGGAAAATCACATTGGGGTTTACATTTACTGAGATGGGTGACGAAAAAAGACAACAGTAGACAACAAGAACTACAAATACTACCGCGTCCAACTAGAATAAAGCTCTCAACTCTGGTATGGAATTTAGAAAATAATATTTCGGGTCGCAAAGTTCGTAAAAGATAGGAAAAGATTATATTACAATTATAAAAAAAAAATGGTAAGACATTAGTCACAATTTCAAATTTCTTAATTTATTCTTCAAAATCTATGTCATTCCCCTCAAAGTAATCAATCTTGGTCATAATACACTTGTGTCAACGTTTCTTCCAAATCTCGAAACAGTTGTTAAACTYAATTTCCCRAATAACCTCCWATACGCGTTCGATTCTCGTTTAATGTCTTCAACTGACTCAAAACGGTTTCCATGGAGCGTTTGTTTGAGTTTTCTGAATAGAAAGAAGTCACATGGTTGAGGCACGATATTGGTTGGAAATTTGGCGGAAAACTCACGAAGAGTCAATGCAGTATGCAACGGTGTATTATCGTCATTTAAAAACCAATATTGTCGGCGGCGACGACGTATAAGACCTTGGTATTCCTTTTTGACAGTTTGACCTTTCGGTAGGAATTCGGAATGCACCACACCTCGTTAGTCGAAGAAAACTCTCAACATGGCCTTGATTTTTGACCGGTTTTCACGTGGTTTTCTCGGCTTCAGCTCATCTTCGCCACAATATTCTGCCAATTGATCGCCTGTTTCCGTGTCATAAACATAGATCCAAGACTCATCGCCAGTAATAACACGTTTCGTGGCATCCTGGTAGTCAGAAAGCATTATTTGACCGACGTTAACGCGACGCTGTTTCCGAAAAAAAATTTAGTGATTTTGGAACCAATCGTGCTTTCACATTTCTTAGGAACAAACTATCTTTAATCTTTATCAAAATGGTTTTCACTGCTTCTGCCGATCTTCCAACGATGCCAGTAAAATCTCGAACTGTTTATCGTCAATTCTCAAGTACGTGGTTTGATGTCAAGGCATWCTCGACTCTTTGAATAATTTTTATCAAAGAAAAACCATTCTTCCGAGTAACAATTATCACCGAAGGCCTTTCTAACATTCTGAAATTTTCTGCACTTTATGTTCTTAAGAAAGACAAGCTTGCGCTACACACTAACGATTATTTTAAAGTGACATTTGGCACAGATGAAGTCTTACTATTTGAACACAGCAGTACGTTCTACTGACTTGAACCATAGTGAAGCCCTCGTACCTGGAAAGAAATGTAAGAGCGCCGTGGAACCTTTTAATATGAGAAACTGAAACTCGAGACCTTTTTGAGCAGTATGACGTCCGTTTCCAGAAAAAATTTTACAGCCGAGAGCTTTTCGTTTTATGTATGTATCTTAACCAGATATCAACATTTCTTTACGCGTCTTTTGGTACCTAAAATAAAGCCATTTTTTACGTATTTTCTCATGTTTATATGCGGATAGACGGACAAACAGCAGAAATGGCTGAACCCCTCTYTTCCTTCAAAATTATATAACCCAGTATACTATATAATATTGAACTACATTATAGAAAAACCACAATGCAATCATTCAACATCCGCCAATTAAACGCAGCTGAGTAGAAATTACAAAAAATAAATACACAAGCGCTGCTTTGTAAGCCAAAGTCAGTTATGCGTGAASAGGCAAATGCGTTTACAACGTTGACGCATGACAACGCCCTCGCTGACTGCCGTGACGCTTGATTGCTTGCGCATGCGCAGCCATGGACTTGAAAATATAAACGCACAAGGCAATTAAAAAATACTCCAGCAGTCGCCTTCACAAAAATGGACTGTGAATTATGCGCGAATGTGCGTTGAAATGTGGCGTCAATGYCRACGCTAGCCGGCAGCCGGGGGATTGACAGAAAGACCACTAACCGTAAGTCAACAGTCAGCGACTGCGCGTCTCACTCAAATTTATATACGCGCGGACAACGTCTCGTCTCGCCACTAATCGATGTGGGCCAGTCATTACGCCTCGATCCGGTTTGGAGCAGATTTGTTGCCTTGTTGACCATCTTGCGAGTGCAGTGTCGCATTCGAATGCATTCGTAACGGTGTTTATCTCTTTCGACTTTGCCTTGCAATTATCGAGGTATGTGCTTGGCTACGCCAATTGACATTACTGAAGCGTTTGATTTTATTTATTTTTTATTTATTTTATTTTTTTTTTTTTGCGCGGTGCACATTTGCTCAATGAGTTGTCTCCTGTTCGCACTTTAGCGACGATTATGCATTTTTTTTTTTTTGTTTGCTTTATTTAATTGTTCGCCTTGTTAGTTTCATACTAAATAACTTCGCACATTTTTGTTTCGTTGAGTTATTAGCGGCACTTTTGTATTTTATTTAGCAGCTATGTTAACTCAATTTGCTTTGTCACCTGCGTATTACATCTCCCGTGTCCAACAACAATAAAGTTGAAGTTTTTAAGCTTTTTTCTGTTTGAGTTTTGAACTGATCTGGTAGACCTTAAAGGTCATGCGTGATCTCTGGGTTTCAAACAGACCTTAGTTTTAGAAAACCTCCCAGACAAGGATCTTGTATACCTTGACAAGGTCTCATCAGTTCCAGTGTATAGTTCAGGGATCTATGAAGTAAAATGAGTGCCTTATAAGTATCAAGCTTTTGAACCTTTTACATTTTGAGCCTCGAACTGTTCTAGTAGATCATGGTTTCAAAAGACTTCCYAGATAAAGATCGTAGATCCATCCATCTACAAGTTCTTAAGTGCTCAGGAGAATAGTTGATAGAACGATRAAGTTAAATGATTCTCTTGTAAAGATCAAGCTTTTGCACGTTTTACTTCTTTGATTCTCGAACTAATCTGGTAAATCTTMGTTTCAGATTATCTCTCAAATAAATATCGTGTACTCATCTACTAAGTCTCAGGTGTTCTCGAGAATAGCTCATGGAACCCTGAAGTAAAATGAGTCCCTTATAAAGATCAAGACTTTAAACTTAATACTTATTTGGGCTTTGAACAGATCTAGTAGATCTTAGATTCCGTTAACCGCTCTACTAGGTCTCAGACCTTCTCGAGAATAGTTCATCGGCCCTTGAACTAAGTTAAAATGCTAATAGAGCACCAAATATTTGAAGGCCTTTAACCAGAAGAAGAGTAGACTATAAAGCATCTACGCTTAATTATATTTCGGAGGTTGTMCAGGTAAACTTTTGATACTAATGAACTTCATTAGAAGCACGTAGTGGTTCAGAGAGAAGACAATAGAGTGAGGAATTGTTTTGAGAAGCACGTAGTGGTTCAAAGAGAAAACAATAGAGTAAGGAATTGTTTTTACAGTGGTTTCACACTGGATCTTCTAAAGCCAATCCACCTAACTACCTACCTAACCCCACTGACTACTTCTAAACTTAATAAAAATAAGACTGAAAACGAGGGCATGAGGTTTGATATTCAAGACTTTGATATTTTATGGTACMCGAGATCCCACTTTGAAGCTTCGTTTAAAAATTAAAATAGTGGAATACATTCTTCATAATGCTGAGAAGTTTTCGTTGATATTGTACCGGCTGAGTAATTTTAAGGAATTCCGTCGACCTGACAGTCTTTGACTAGATAATAATAATTCCTGTCACGGCAGGAGGTTCTACCTTAAGAACGGAGAAGTTTTCAATTTCTTCATAGAATAACATCGAAATATGCTCTCAGAAAAGTGCTCAAGTAACTGTAATAAAGCCGTCCACWTAGCAGAGTTTTTTAGATGATCGATACTGTAGAAGATTCGCATAGATTCCGCTGCTTRTTTGCTGTTTCATTAAAGTCTCATTAGTACAGCGACACTGGCTAGATCATGTTGTCCGAATGGCGAAAAACACTCCAATTCTGAGAGTATTCAACACAGTACCCGCCGAGGGAAGCAGAGGAAGACCTCCACTCCGTTGGAAAGACCAGGTGGTGAAGGACCTGAGTACACTTGGAATCTCCAATTGGTGCCAGACAGCGCTAAGGAAGAACGACTGGTATCTACGACAATAAAAATSAAGAAGAAATGAAAAATGAAATAAGAAATATCCGTGTTCTGGATACTACTTACTTTTAAGATKTTGTTTACCAGACAGAATTTTCGATAATTTCGGCAAACAAAAAACCGCATTTTGCAAATCCTACAGTATTTTAGTTAAAAAAAAATTTTAATCTGCGGTTATTTACAAAAAACTGTTTTTAGAAAAGCAAAATTAATCAAGTTGTAGCACATAACTACTATCATTTATTTTAGCTAATCTTCCATTTTTCAACTTGTATTAATAATCTTTATTAACCACATTTTTCTTACACTTTCAGTGATTGAAAATCGAGCCGCCAGTGAGCGGTCCAACCACCTAGACGACCCCCAGGGCACTTGAATACCACGCACATGTGGTTTGGAATGGCACCAAGTGAAGTATTCGAAAACTATGTATATAAACATGTGTGTGTGTGTCATAGAACACCAGCAAAGTACCACGAAAACTGCCATGTGTGGCAAGCACGATCTACACGTCGGCTTAACCGAATATCAATAAAACAGCGACAGCCGCCACCAAGCAGCAAACAAACACCAACAGCAACGAAAGCRCTGAGATCAAGTGTATGGCACTTCAGTTAGAATGCAAAAACAAAAAACAGAATGATGAGGGGGAAAACAAGATTTGAAAGCAAAAAATTGATTATCGAAGATTAAAAACGAATGAAAAGTTAAAAATCATTAAAATTCGATATTAAGCAAAGGCAGCAATAAAAATTAAAGAAGAAAGTAAAATGTGAGTTCAGAATTGTTGAAGGAAGAAAGCAGTAATAAGGCAAAGAATAAAGCACTACAAACACACACATATATAAAATACATAATACATGCATATTACTGTACAAATGGAAATGTAAATTTCTATTATTGTTTTTGAGATGCGGTGAAGCATTTCACCTGTCTCTTACACACATCTAGATGTGTATAGCATATTACTGTACAAATGGAAATGTAAATTTCTATTATTGTTTTTGAGATGCGGTGAAGCATTTCACAGCACAACAACAAAAAGCAACAAAAACAGCGCGGAACAGTTAGAGCTGTGRCCAGAGACAATGGTGATGCTTTAAGGCTTAAAATATACGCCRAACATCAATAATACTGGCGGTCCGGCAGCGCCACGACCAAGAGCTGGTGGAGTTTGGCAGCGCTGAAGCGTCTATTCATACATATGTATGATTATAGATATATAGCTATATACGYAAACACATGCTTACCGCAAACACGAGCGCCATAATTTTCAACTCGAAAATTGCTTTGTTTTATTTTTTTAATTTTATTGCCTAYAGACTTTCTTTTATTACTCATTTACTGGCCCGGGCTTCTTTCTGCTTTTTCTCTGCCACTTCTACGTGCCATTTGACCGCAACGTGTGCAGATGCGGAGCAAAGAGCGTTAAACTATATAACCATATGTGTGTATTTGTGTGTGTGCGTGTGTGTTTGCCGTAGTAATGAGGAACCGCAAAGTCAGTTGGTTGGTTGGCTGGTCGGCTGGTCGGTCAGTCGCGGTTGGCCAGCTAACTGAGTAACCTCTGAACCGGTGTAGGCATGCAAATAACAGCGGGACMACATACGCGTGTAAATGCAGGCAAGAAAGCCATATAACATAAGCGTAGCATGTGGTTACTGTGWTTGCCCTGCGTGCGCATGCGCAGTTTATTGAATTTTTTCCCGATTTATGCTTTAGTTTTCTAAATCTCATTACTCTAGTTGTGGTTATGGTGTGGTTACTAACATTGTTTCAGGTAGCTCCACCACGGAAGAAACTGGCGATCCAAATAACTGTGATGAGATCCACACCTGTAAAAAAATTAATATTTTCAGCAAATCTGACAACAAAGCTGCCAGAAACCATTTAATTTTCGACTTCTTGTACCTTTKTAGAATTCTTTTACAAGTAAAATACATAGGGAAGTTTGAAACT